CGGGAGCCGGGACTCAGGGCCCGGGATCGCCGAGCCCGACCTCGGGCGCCCCGCCGGTCACCTCCCCGCGCGGACACCAGGTACACAGTCCCCGGCCCCGCCCGGCCTCCTCCCCTCGGCCGCTGGGGGAAGCGGGGAGGAGGTGGGAGGGAGCTCCTTGGGGGCCCCACGGAGCCAGCGGCCGCCCCTCCTTGGGCCTCAGTTTTCCCATCTGTCAAAGGGGGCAAAGAGAGAACTAGCATTTTACCGAGTGCCCAGTAGGTGGGGATGGATGGTGCGAGGCCGGCGTCGAGGCCTCCCAAGTGCTCAGTGGAGGATGCAGGACCCACGCCCATTATGCGGGTGGGGAAACCGAGGTCCGGGGAGCCAAATCGACTCGTCCCAGGAAACACACATCGTGAAACCGTGTGGAGTTGGGATCTGAACTCGCAGGTGCTTTCCGTTAAGCGCCACTCTCCAACCCCGCGTGCTTTTAGGGCCATCTAAAAATAAAAACAACAACAATAACAACGCCGTGGGCCGCCGTGAAGCTGAAAGTTGCGGCGCGCATTTGAAAGCATTTTCGGAAAGCTCTTTTCTGGGTCATTAATTATACCCTGGGAGACGGATGCAGGGGAGAGAGTTGGAAACCCGCCCCCATTTTACAGCTGGGAAGACTGAGGCCTGCAGAGGATTACTTTTTGCAGGTTATGCAACATGCCAGAGGGAAAGGCGTGCTCAAACCCAAGAATATTTTGCCTTCCAGTTCCAACGCAAGGTGGGCGGGGCGCGGAGGGGATAGAGGTACCAGCGTCGGAAATGCCGCTGGTCTCCGAGTTGGGGAGGCAAATAAGACGGGAGCCCCAGTCCGAGGTCCCGTGCTTAGCGCCGGGGTGATTCCGAGATCTCGGATTGCGCTCTGGCTCGGGGTCGGAACCCTTCGCACCTCGGGCCGGGGGCGGGGCCCGGAAGAGTGACGGGGGCAGTCGAGATACGGAAACGCCGGCCCTCCAAGACAGGCCAGAGAGGCCCTGTCTGACCAGCGTGGCGCACTAGAGAGCTAGAGCGGCCAGCGGGAGGAATAGAGTCGCTGGGGCCGGAGCCTGGCAGGAGGCGGGCTAGAGCGGCAGGCAGGAGGAGTGGAGCTGGGCGCAAAGGTGGACTCTGGGGCGGCTAGAGCGACTCGGCGGCAGGGGTGGGGAGAGCTCGAAGCCGGCGCGCGGAGGCTTCGATTCCGGCGGCTGTGGTGGCTTCTCTTTCCACCTGGAGCAGGTGAGGGACGCGGCTCCTGGCGGGCGTCAGGCCCTGACTCTGCACGTCTTCTCTGGCATCCCTGGCCGTGCACACTGCCACGTCCCCTGTAGGATTTAGGGCCCGCGTAGACCCGCCACGTCCATGTAAGATTTGGGGCGCGTGTAGACCTGCCACGTTCCATACAGATTACAAGGTCTTACAGACCCTCCAGCTTCCTGCTAATCTCCCATGGAGACCTGGCTTCTCATAAACGTGGAGGCCTCATAGATCTATAACATTCTCTAGAATCCGGGGCCCTATAGACCATGGATCTCAGGACCCACTACACACCCCTATAGGATTCTGCGACCTTTTCAAGTTTCCAGATGTCCCGTACACTGGCAACTTTTCCTATAGAATTATGATCATGTATGATGCCCAGATCCTTTGTCAAATAGAATCGGGGGAGTTACACATTCCAAGGGCTCCTTTTAGGTTCCTTAAGGCTCTCAGAGGTCTTGGAGACCCTGGGTCATCTGCTCAATATCTTATAGACCCTGAGCTCTGCATAGAACTCAGGCACCCATGTAGTCCCCCATGTGTGCTGGCTTTGCTTTGGAACCCCTACCCCTGTGGACTTTCTAAACCTGCACTAAACCACTGCACAGCCTTGTGCACATAGTGTTCCCTCTGCTGGACCCCAAACCTTGCCAGTTGCCTACAAATTCATTTACCTTCTTACAGCTTCACTTGTAATGCCCCAGCCTGTGTGAGACCCCGTACCCACCCACCCCATCTCCTAAACACTCCCCACCCCTATCCTCTCTGAGCCCCATGCCTCTGTGGAACAGCCGGTCCAACCTGCACTCCTGCGGGGGGTCATAGCAACCATATACTCCTGACTTTCTCAGGTGCCATAAGAAGACCTGATGTGTGTCAGAACCTTGATTCCGATTTTAGTTTCTGAATGGTGAAGTGGAGGATCCCCATGGTCTGAGGCAATGCAGCTTTATGTTAAATTCATAAATTCTGGAGCCGTACTGGCTAGGTCTGAATTCTGCCTCTGTCTCTTATGAGCTGTGTCTCAGTTTCCTCCTCTGTAAGGGGTGAGAATAATACTGACCTCTTGAGGTCATTGAGAGGATTAAATAAGTTAGTGCCTATAAAGCAATAATGCTGTGCCTGGCACATACGAAGTGCACCTTAAGTGTTAGCTATTATTTCATCTTATTGTGATGAGGAATAAGGAGATAATGTTTGTCTAGTGCACAGTTTGGAGCCCGGCACCAGGCATTTGCTCAGATAACGAGCTTCCCTTCCTTTGCCCTTTTGGAATCTCCTAACCTTACTTGAGCCTTTCTACACATGTGTGGGGTGAGCACGGACCTTTCATGTCCATGGTCATGTTTTCCAGCCCAGAAGTTGCAGCTGGAGGCATGGTGAAGGTTTCTCCATCTCTAATGAGAATAAGAACAGCATGGAGTGCTTATGGTTGGGAGCTTAGTGAGTTGACACAAGAGAAGCACTTAGAGCAATGCCTAGTACCCAGTAAGGGCAATGTGAGTTTAGCTTTCATAATAAATGATTATTATTATTTTTCTGCCTTGGTTTGCAAGTTTATTAACATGAACATTTCCGTTAAATAACGGTGCTGAAGTCTTGAATTACCCAAGCTAGCATGTTGGACAAACACTTTATGGGAAAGGATTAAAATAATGCCTGCTCTGGTGGACCCACAGGATGACGTTTGGGTATTCCAGAAAGCATCATTGTTTAATAATCATAATGGAAATCACAGCTACCATTTACTGGGGAGCTAGGGAGGAGGCCCGTGGAAGAGGGAGAAGGGTGGATCTCAGGCGGCTAGAGTTATAAATAGCTTTGGACTGTGGGGAGCCCCCCCACTGGTCCACCCCACCCCTCTTTTCCACAGCTTCTTCCCGGCTGACACGGGCTCCGTGGCATTAGTCAGACTAATTAAAGACACAGAAGATGTCAGTGGAAAGACTCAGAGAGAAGTGAAGACTCAAGGAGAGACAAAGATGAGAAAGACAGCAAGAGATGGGGGGATGGAGAAAGATAAGAGACAGCATGAGGACAGAAGCACAGATGGTGGGAGAGATGGGGAGCAACAGTAACAGGGAGGGGATGTAGCCGCTGAGAGGGGAGAGGCTGGGGGAGAGGAGGAGGCAGGGAGCCAGGGATGGTGGGAAAAATGAGACAGGTCTGGAGCAACATGAGGAAACAGGGTGAAGAGAGGCAGGGCCAGGAGACAGACCCAAGGGAGAGCCAGCCAGGGATAGCGGGCTGGGTCAGGGGAGGCAGGATGAACACGGGTGGAGGGAGACACACACCTTGTGCATGGGCTATCTGAGGGACCGCTCAATCCTTTTCTGGGACTGGAAGTCTGGAAAGATATGACAGCCCTGAGGGAAAGAACTTCTGGGCCTGTCCCTGAGAGAGGAGGGTTGAGTTTTGTTTTCTTATGCGGAGGGGGTTGGGGGTTTGTCATTGTGACTTCCTGTCACAGGAAGTGGGGCTAGTGGGTTCAGAGGCAACATCCTGCCCCAGGCCTGTCACAGATCAGAGGAGAGCCCCTCACACCCCACTTTTTCCCTTTCTGTCTTCCCTTGAACCTTTCCCACTTGGCTTGCCTCTAGGCCCAGTCCCCGGCCTCCTGGTTCCTCTGGCCTGGGAGTCCAGGCCCCCATCCCCTCCTCCACTAAGGACCCCATATTGCAGGCTCCCAGATACAGCCTTCCCATGGACCCAGATTCCTGAGCCTCCAGCCTCTATCCCCCAGGCTCCCTCCTTGGGCTCCCGCCCCCTGGCTGCCCTCTGAAGGGCTCTTTGTCGCCACACAGAGGCCCCATTGAGCTGGGAGGCCAGGATGGGGGGGAGGCTGTTTACTCACCTTCACACCTGGGCCAGGAATCTGTGAGTAACCGTCCTGTGCCTCCTCCTCCCACCCCCTAACCACGGCCCCTCCTCTTCCCCTAGCCCTGCCGTGCCCTGGGAGATGGAAGACGTCGCCCGAGGGGCGGTGAGTGGAGAGTGAGGGGTGAGGGAAGCTGGGGGCTGTGGGGTGGAAAGCACTGTGGGCTGAAGCCTCCCTCCCCTTCCACAGGCCCCAGGGCCCCCCCGGCCTGGCCTGGTGCCCATCAGCATCATTGGGGCTGAAGATGAGGATTTTGAGAACGAGCTGGAGACGGTGAGCGGGAGATGGGTTAGAAAAGCTTCTGTCCCAGAGTGAGTGTCCTGTCCCTGGTGTCCCCTCCCATGGCAGCTCCAGTGCTCCATCCTCAGATGCCACCTCCTCCCACAACCCCCTCTCATCTTCTGATGCTTTCTTCCTCATCGTCTCCACTCCATCCTCAGAGCCCCCACTGCAGCATAGACTCCACCCTTCTTCCTCTGAACCCCAGTTCTTACCACTGCTCCTTCCTGCCCCCTTGCATGGATCCCCATTCTTTCTCTCCTAATTTCTGTCCTCAGCAGCCACCAATGTAACATTAAATGTCACCCATTCTCCCTGACCGCCTGCGCTTGCTGTCACCATTACTGCACAGACACTGTCACCACCCCCTGCTTCCCAGGATCTTTCCTGGCTTGGATCCATTGGGGTGTGCCAGGGAACGGGTAGGGTCAAGCCCAAGGCTCTCCGCCTGTCTCTCCATTGTACTCACCCTCTCCCCACCCGCAGAACTCAGAGGAGCAAAACAGCCAGTTCCAGAGCCTGGAGCAGGTGAAGCGGCGCCCAGCCCACCTCATGGCCCTCCTGCAGCATGTGGCCCTGCAGTTCGAACCTGGACCCCTGGTGAGGGCAGGGCTGGGCAGGCACAGGGAGGGGTGAGGCTGGGATAGGTCACAGCTTTCAGTGCCCTCCACCAATGAAGGTGAGCTGGGAGGCCCTGGAAAGCCAGATCTAGAACCCACAGTGCTGGATCTAGAAATAGAGTGTGCTGTAGATGAGAGCCAGAAAGCACACCATGTGATCTAGACAGGATCCCAGGTGTCCGTGTAAATCTCCAGCGAGCACGGGCCAAGAGGTACACACAGCAGGGTCACACAGAGAGCAGCAGGATCCAAGCCTGACTTGGGAGAAAACTGTTAGCCATCTCAGGTCTAAGGGGAAGAGCAGGCCCTGACACAGAAACAAGAAAACCACCACATGCAGCCCATGAAACAGACAAAACATAATCATTCATCCAGAAGCCTCCTGAATGTGGCAGAAGATGCCTGGGAGGTGCGGGTGCAGAGCCATGCTGTCCAGAAACACCTGCAGAGTCTAGAACCGGCAGGTGATTTAGGAAGGGAGAAGCCACAGTGCTGGCCTGGGGGGCGGGGGGATCTGTAGATGAAATTGAGAAGTCCCAGTGCAGCCCAGGACAGGAAACAGCCCAAGGCATTGGGGTTTCTGAAAATACATGGCAGATCCCTCTAAAAGACTAGGAGACTGATAGAAATGGCAGGTGGAAATGCCTGGGGTTACAAAAAGAAGGATGTGTCAATTGTGGGCCGTCCTGAGGCCAAAGCTTCAGACGCTGGCAGAAAATCAAGTTACTAGTATTTCCCCCTTCTGCCTTCTCTCTCCAGAAAAGTGACTGTCGTCTCCCCTGGTGCATGGAGGCTGTGGCCCTTTGGGCAAGGGGTCCCCTGCCCGAGTCTTAGAGTTTCCAGAACATGAGAACTACAGATTCTGAACCTCAGCCCAAGGATTGTGCTGATTGCTGTGTTTTTTTTATAAATGTGGAAACTAAGGCCTAGAGAGGGTCAGGAGATTACCTGAGGTGACCCAGATGACCTCTGGCATTTTGAGATTTGTCTTCCTGCTGCTCCTTCACCTCATCAGCTTGGGAGAACCGTTAAAAAATAGTTGTGGTCCCCTGGGCTGCTTCTTGTTGGTCTTTCATGGAGTTTTGCTGTTTTGGGGGGATGGGGAGAGCGGACATAGTTTTGTTAAAAGTGCTTGAATAACTGGGCACGGTGGCTCACGCCTATAATTCTAGCACTTTGGGAGGCTGAGGTGAGAGGACTGCCTGAGCCCACAGGTTCAAGACCAGCCTGGGCAACTTGGCGGGACCTCATCTCTACAATAAATAAAAAAATTAGCCGGGCGTGGTGGCACATGCCTGTAGTTCCAGCTACTTACAAGGAGGATCACCTGAGCCCGGCAGGTCGAGGTTGCTGGGGCCAGGAGTGTGCCACTGCTCTCCAGCTTGGGTGACAGAGTAAGACTCCCAACTAAAAAAAATAAAAAAAAATAAAACTGTTTAAAAGGGAGAAAGAGTCCCGCGCCAGTTAGAGTGAGTCCTTAGCACCCTAAGGCACTTGACCTGTCCTGGCTCCCGGGGGGCTCTCACCCCACCCGGT